GTTCTCAGTTAACCTTACTGAATGTCCCCACGGTCCTAGTCTGCCAGAGTAAGATTTCGCCCGGCTCAAAGAAGGTTTGTACTGTCCTTGATAGAGGCTCTGGCTGACTTGCCCATCCTTTCCCCCCTGGTCCTTATCTGACCAGGAAAGCTCTGCTGTCAATTGTTCCTTGGGCAAGAGGGAGGTCATCTTGCTCTCCCAGCTCTGTCCAGCAGTAGGTTTCTCTGGGGCATCCACCCAGGCCCCTTATTCTTCCTCATCTTCTTCTGTCAAACAGCAGTTTCCTAAAGCCTGTCTTCACTCTTTTTTCTCTGGCTCCTTGCTGCCTCGGGCAGGTGTCCCTTGTAAAGCTGCTGTAGCTTCCCCAGCTGCCTTCCCTCCCTCTTTCCTTGGGCCTTCACCTTTTCCCCAGGCTGAGCTCTTTCAGCCATCTTAAAGGAGCCTGACAGCTCATTGTGAGCCTGCTGCCTGTCTGATACACTCACTCCCCTCACTGGCTGCTAGGCCTGTCAAAAAGATAGGATCTTAAAAAGGCAATTTCTCCTAAGGTCATTTACCTCAGTAGTTCACACACCTTGTCCTATCTTTCCACTCAAGGCCCTCCTGGGTTTTCAGTTGAAAGCTTCTTTGGAGGACTAGAGAACTGAATTAGGTATGAAAGGGGATTGGGGACTGTTTTTGAGGAAATCACTCCCAACCATATTGGGATCCTATGGTAATGTAAGGAAAGTTCACAAAGGAAAATTCCCTTTGCTTGGAAAAGTTCCTTCCTAGAGAACTCACACATAGAACCCTCCACACACACACACTCTCTGACAACTGAGAGGAATAATACCAAAATCAATCCTTTGAAGTTTTCCGCTTAGGGCAGATATTGTGTCTCCCCATTGTTCATGGGGAAGTACTCACAATTCAGGGAGACTTTTCAGGTGACTTTGGGGGGAAGGAAAGGATGGGAAGCCTTCTTGTCATGAAATCCTTGCACAAACCTTGAAAATGCGACTGCAGCATCTTCAGATGTTCCCGAAAACTGCTGCTATCCAGCCTCCCAAATCCACCATGTATTTAAAGATATGTTATGGATTCCTTTTCTCTTTTAAAATCAGGGCCAGCAATTTCAGAGATGGACTATGCAAGCTGTGTGGGCAAAGTGCTTATGGGCCCGGGTTATGGCCAGATAGTTCCTTTAAATTTTGATGTTTTAAAAATCAGTATACTAGTCCCCTCAAGCACTCCCTCATATACCAACACATCTTCCTTTTACCAACAGATTTCTCGCATGCTACTGCTATGTGGGAAGGGATTAAAAGTCATGTAGGTGAAGAAATTTTAAATTAGATGCCAGGCTACAGGCAAACCAGCATGGGAAAGTGCTCTGCCTACACCCGACCCTGCACCTTCAATAAACTGCATTTGGAGGCATCACACTGGGTCTTAAGTTTAATTCTCATAAGTGATGGTCTGTCAGCACAGTAAGGCCAAAGGGAGTTGAAATGCTGGAATTATCAACTGCCAGTAATGCTCTTTTGAATCTCACATGAGACAGATGGGTCAGTTTGTGAGCAAAATAAATGGACAGCATATTTCACAGCAAGTGCAAAATAGGAGCTCTGTTTTGTTTTGGCAGGCAATGAATCTAGTTCTTTACACCTCCTGGTCGCTTGTAACACAAGTGTTCTTTTCTGGGCACCCTGCAACCTGATTCAACGTATATCTAGTTGTAAATCCGTCCCCTAATTTCAGTGATGCTTACTAGCAGGGAAGGCTTTCTTTTTTAATTGTCTTATACTCTGTCTTGTTAGTATTTATATATCCCCATCTTTCTTTGCAAAGTAGGATACACTTGCAGAGGGGAAATCTAAATGCAGAGAGCTAACCATTTATTGGATTCTTGGACTGGTAGATTCCTAGCCCACAGTTTTAGAGGGGATACAAAATGATTTCTACCTAAGCATTAATGGGCCTCATCTTCTAGTTCTAGGCTACAGACCTTCAAGGTGAGGGGTTGGAACTGAGGTCATGCCCTTGGGCAGACTGAGGAAATAGCCTCAGGCAGATGTTGGGGGGCACCTATGTCCCAGCAGTCTCTCTCTATTGGACAACAGCACTGTACAGGCCATAGAACTGCTGGATAACTCTGTGGTTTTTGTATTTGGCTATGGAGTCAAGGGTGGGAGTTTGATTCCCCACTGGGCCTCTTTGACAGGAACTGGACACAGTGATCCATAAGGTTCCTTCCAGCTCTGTAGTTCTAATGATGATGATGATGATACAATCACTATTGGTCCCACTAAACAATTTCTGGTTCATGATGAAGGGTCCCACCCTATCCTGAATGCCTCTCCTGTCATCTTCTGCATGTGGACTGAGAAGGCACTATCTTGTTCAGCAACAAATTATATTCTGCTTCTGCCTTCACAGTATGAAGTGTAGCTACAATATGTTGTTGATTCTTCGTCCTGCCCCCGCCCCCACATCAACACGATGACATCTCAAAGTTCCCTACAATATGTTGTTGATTCTTCGTCCTGCCCCCCTCACATCAACACAATGACATCTCAAAGTTCCCTATGGGATGAGGGATGCCAAGGCCCTTGTACAACATGTTTTGCCATAATGATGTTAACCATCATTGTATACTCATCGTTCTCAACTTTAAATATTGTCTTTTATTCCTGGAAGCTGCCTTGGGCCCTTTTCAAGGAGAAAGGTGGGGTAAAAATGTTTTAAATAAAATAAATAAATAAATATTATGCCTCTCACAGAACCTCACCTCATTTTTTTTTAAAAAAAGAAAAAGACAGGGTGGACAAGATTTATTTAGAGCAGTAAAAATGTTTTAAATAAATAAATAAAATACTAAATAAATAGTATGCCTCTCACAAAACCTCACTTCATTTTAAAAAAAAAAGGGTGGACAAGATTTATTTAGAGCATCACTGGCTAAACATTGGGTGCAGAAGCATTTCTAGTTTAGGCTTTCTGTTTACTGTACCAAGTGTGCAGATTACAGCAGTCAGTAAGCTTATTATCAAGTGACAAGAAATATTTCCCTCCAGGAAGACTCCCTTCATATAGAATGCTAGGTGGTGAAAGAGAAGGGTGAGGGCTTGGAGTTGCCCTCTGGGTTCCCTGACCTCTCCCTGTAACTAGGAAATAGAAGCAAAGGAGGAAAATGCAGGCAAAGAATGTGGCTGCCATTTTCAGGGAAAGGCTCCCACTGCACATTTTTAGCACTCCCACTGAGTTTGCTGGGAGAGGATTTACTGGCCCCAACTCCAGACAATAATGTTATTCCAGTGTGCAGACAAGGATAAGGTTTAGCCCAGTTTTAACCAGGCCTTCAACTGCAACAACAACAGCATTTCCCTCCAAGATAGGTTAAGGGCTCCCACTGGCTTCCAGTTCATTTTAATGAAATGTTGCGCAATGGCATATGCACTCCTCTGCAACGGGTATTTCATGAGCAGTTCACATTTTCAAAAGATATGATGCATGGCAGAGCAACTATCACTCGGAAAGCAAAATTTAAAATATCTGATCAGTCACATGATGGATGGGGTGGGGAGAGACTTTAATTCACTTGTATAAGTGGTTGTTGTGGGTTTTTCAGGCTCTTTGGCCGTGTTCTGAAGGTTGTTCTTCCTAACGTTTCACCAGTCTCCGTGGCCGGCATCTTCAGAGGACAGCACTCTGTGCTCTGGTGTAGTTGGCTTGGGAGTGCCTGCGTTGGGAGTGCCTGTGTTGGGAGTGCCTGCATGGGAGCGCCTGCGTTATTTCCATACTTTCACTTGTATTAACTTGCCATTTCTACCAGAAACAGACATGTTGCCCATGGGCGTCTGTCCTCCAAAAAACTACCCTTTTCAATCTCTGAATCTTCCTAGGCAAGGATCCCCTGCAGTTACTGCTTTTACACATTGCCATTTTGTTTCTGCCTCCTTTTTCTTTAAGAACATCCACAACGTAACAAAAGAAACTTGTTTATAACAAAGTTTTCACTTGCAGTTTCAGGCATACAAATAGGTCTCATAAAAAAGTGTCAACCCCAGTGATGGGGAACACGTGGGGAAATGTGCTTCAGCTCAATCTATTCCCAAAGGGCCCTTTTTGGTCCACCTCTAGGGCTTCTACCTTTTGGGGTCAGACCAGAGCCACTCCTGAGGAAATGGAAGGGTCACTTTAAGAGAGATCACTCCCCTTAAAGTGACCATTGCTGGCACCATTGGAACTACTCACCTTTGCAGGTGTCGGGTCACACCCTTACTGAGCTAGCCAGCCAGCCCTTAATATATCTCTTTGTTAGGTGCCATCAAATTGATTCTGGCTTACGGCAATTCTAGTAGGGCTTCCGAAGAATGTGAGAAAGTTAAGGGCTGGCTGTACCAGCGATGCTGGATGTGGTGCTGGAGGAGACTCTTGAGAGTCCCCTGGACTGCAAGGAGAACAAACCTATCAGTTCTAAAGGAAATCAACCCTGAGTGCTCACTGGAAGGACAGATCCTGAAGCTGAGGCTCCAGTACTTTGGCCATCTCATGAGAAGAGAAGACTCACTAGAAAAGACCTTGATGTTGGGAAAGTGTGAAGGCAAACGGAGAAGGGGACGACAGAGGATGAGATGGTTGGACAATGTCATCGAAGCTGCTGGCATGTATTTGACCACACTCCTGGAAGCAGTGGAAGACAGGAGGGCCTGGCGTGCTCTGGTCCATGGGGTCACGAAGAGTCGGACACGACTAAATGACGTACCAGCGATACTCCCCGCGAGTTTCCATGGCCAGCGGGGATATAAACCCAGGTCTCTCGAAGTTCTAGTCAACGGGGCTATTTCTCAATTAACGTGAATATCATTTTAGCGGTTACTTTGTCAAGTACGGAAACAGATCCATCTCGTCTAGTAGGCACCCAAGGACGAGGTGTTTTCGGGCTAAGCCTGCAATCGCCGCAACCCGTCGCTAGGTGGCAGAAGAGGGGCGAAGTGGAGGCGGTCCGGTTTGCGCTCTCAAAGTTTCTTCCGGGCTGTACAAACCCGAGCGGGTGTCGTGCTGAGTCACTATCGGGCAGAGAGGAGCCTCTTTCAGCATCGGGACGGCCGGTTCTTTATTCCCCTACGGAAATAAAGCGGGGTGAAATCCCACCCTTCTGCCTGGTGCTCTGTAGAAACGACCCTGCTTAGGGCAGGATCCTGAGTATTGAAATCATCCGGAGCTAATTGACATCGGCTGGGTTAGTGGCGGTGGGACTCCCTCCGGCTTCTCTCCGATGTAAATCCTTTTCTGTAGGATTCCGTAAACTCGCTTCCCATTCCTGAAGAGCCTCGCTTTCAGACAGAAGCGTGGCTGGTTCTTTTGCCGTAGATCTGTTTGAATAGCTCGGTTTCTTCCGCTGCGTTGTTTCCATACTTTCCGGTAAGTATTGCATATATTAAGGATGGGAGAAAGTGCGGCTTTCCCGGTGCTATTGTTGGGCTCCCTTTTCCCGCAGCCTGGCAGCGGTGAGGATGGTGGGAAGGCAGGAGACCTGTTAAACTAAATCATCTTGTCGTATTAAGATTTCCCTTTAACGCTTAAATGATGTGCATAGTGAACTGTATTACAGCAGTGTGTAAGCTGCATTGATTCCCTCTCCAGCGTTGAATGAATACTGTAACTCAGTTTTTGTTTCTGCCTTTTTTTCTCCTTAGCTGTCTCTGCTGAAGACTTAAAAAAAAAACACACAAAACTATGGGGTCCAAACTGTCTGTGGATGATTCAGTGTGCGTGGTAATAGTCGGAGGAGGCTTTGGTGGCATCGAAGCAGCCCTACAGCTACAGTATTGGCAGATCCCTTTTGTCCTTGTGGATATGAGAGACGCTTTCCATCACAATGTGGCTGCCCTCCGTGCCTCTGTACAGAGTGGTAAGGTCCCCTTTGGTTTTTGAGACCATCTTTCTCCTACTGGGCATGGCGGCCCAGAAGGGTTTGGCCAGACTGCCTGGAAGTAACTGTGTCCCCCCAATGCATTTGGAAGGCGAGAGGTGATGAAAAGGTGCTTTCCATCTCTTCTGGGTGTTTCTGTCCCTGCCTTCATTCATTAGGCCTGGAAGTTCATAAACTTGGGCCATGGGGTCATGGGCCTGTGAAAACAGAACCCTTAACTGAATGATTTGCCTACTGTATGAACCTGGTTTTGTAACTGAAACGATGGGCATGTCTTCCAGTGCAAGCAATCTGTGAGCTCAGCTGGCGATTTGGCCACTTTTTTCTGTGATTCAGAAGACTCCTCCCTCTCCTGACTGTTTAAGCACTGCAAGAACATGCTTGTATTTTTATTATTATTATTTAAATCACAACAGAAATACAAAGAAACAAAAAAAATTACCTAGCAATATAAAGCTAAGAAAAAACTTCAGATGTGCAGTTACACAAGCAATACACTCCTTCCACTGGGATCACCTGGAGAATGTGCTTGCTCGTATGTGTTCATTCTTCACTTTGTTAATTCAAAACAAAACAGAAATGAAGGTTTGTTTTTAAAAATGTTAATCTGTTTAAGGAATTGGTAGGAGTGTTTATACTCATGCCTTCGGTTAGGCTGCAACATTTGGGCCTCTTAATTTCCAAAATGTTTTTTCTTCATTTCCAAGCTCTGGCTTACCCCCCCCCCCACCCCCACCCCAAAGGTCTCACCCTGCCATTGGATGAAGTAGGAAGAAGTAACTGCTCCCACAGTTATTTCAGATCAGAAAGGCTTGGCAGCCAGGGAAGCTGCAAAAAGATTTTTAAAATATATGATATAAGACAGAAAAGAGAAACAAATGCAGCACTCTTTGCTGCCCTGCAGTGTTGGGAGCTGTAACATCCACCCTCAAACCTCAAAGAGTGGTTGCTACTTTACTGTAAAATCTCTGCTGCCACCAACTTATCCTTGAAAATCAAGCGAAGGACAAGTGTAACTTTGAAAAGCAAAAACTGGTTTATTGATTACAGGAAATAAAAATAGTAAATCATTGGTAAAGAATAAGTCAATCACTGTGAATAAACACTGGCTTACACAGACTATTTCTCACTGACAGGCTCACTCACTCACTCTAACTAATAATCACATTAAACCCTCAGCTCAACCTCTCATCTCCAATCTCTATCTCCCCTCACACACTCTTCACCCCCCTTTTTATACCGGCTCCTCCCCTTAAGTTCCACCCTCCGTCACACCATTGGCTGATGACTCACTGCCCAGCTGTGACGGACAGGTGATGTTTTGGCTGCCTGTTACAGGAGCCTCAGAGAATGTGGTGAGCCATGAAGATTACAACTAGAGCTGAGCTGATTTTCCACAGAAGAACATTGGAGGTGGTGAATCTATTGCAACCACTGTTGTCCTCCAGTTTGCAGTGCCAGGCTTCTTTAGGAAACCTGAATAATACCTGGCTTTGACGGAGTTTGTGGAGCCAAAGTACTGCGGGGAAGGGGTAGCCCATGGGACTTTTTTTTTAGTGCCCCATCCAGCCACCCATATTGCCTTTGTGCCAAGGACTCCATTGAAGCCATATATTACCCACATAGTTGGTCATCTGTTTGAAGCAACGGTGCTGGCTATTTATTGCAGAGGAAGAGGTGAGAAGCCACCATGTAAGGTGGGGTGGCAACATTTTGCTTGCTGCTTGCCTCAGGAAGCAGGACAGCTTGCCCTCTCTCCTCATTTGTTCTCTTACGTTTCTGTTCTGTTTTCAAGTGTTGCACGTTCTTTCCTTTTTAGAAATTTAGGATTGAGGCCAGATGAGACCCAAGCATGATGGGCTCAATTTGCTGGACACTCAGTGGCTTTGACACATACATATTTTTGTAGAACAGAATTATAAATAAACATAAGCACAATCTTATGGTGCAGCTTTGTGAACCTCATTTGCTTGATGGGATGGAACGTAAACTGGTATGTGGTTCCTGCCTGCAACAGAAGGGCATGGTGAAGAAAGTGATTTAAGATTCCAGGAAAGGGACACATTGTTCCAGTTTCATCCTTTCTAAGAAAAGTTAGCTTTTTCTGTTTCTTTGTTTTCAAACACCTCCCCATGCAGAAAACACTGTGCATTTAGAACAGGAGTGGGGTTGCCCATTCAGGTAATTTGGGCTTACCCAGAAATCCCACATGTTGAATGTGACATATAGGATTTCTGGGCATTGACATCCAAAAGTTCATTAGGCCAAATTTCCTGTACCTTCTTTCTTGACCTAGAAACAAACAGAGGAGGGAATAGGCTGGACCAGAACTTGCCTGTTGTCATTTTTTAAAAACCTACCATGGAGTAGTTTTTTTTTGTAGAGCATTCAAAATATGACTTCTGCACATCTGCATTCAAAATAATATGAGCACCAATGAAATGACTGTGTCTTGCTTCTTTACTCCAGCTCTCTTACTGCTCATATTTTCAATAATGTGATTTTGCAGGCTTTGCAAAGAAAACCTTCATCTCCTTTTCTACGACCTTTAAAGACAGCTTCCGGCAGGGCAAAGTAATTGGAATTGATTTGGAAAAACATCATGTCTTGTTGAATGATGGTGAAGTGAGTGCACCTACACCTAAAATGTAGTGGTATCTAGTGGGCACTAACTGCGTGAAAGGCCAAGCCACTGATCCTCTTATATTTCATTCCAGGAACTTTCTTTTTCTCATCTGATCCTTGCCACAGGAAGTGATGGACCTTTCCCTGGGAAATTTAACAGACTCATTGACATGAAGGCTGCTATTCAGACCTATGAGGACATGGTGAAGGAGGTGATATTAAATATTTCTTTCATTGATGAAAGGTGGTTCATTTGTCATTAGCCCTTTCACACTGTATATGAGTGGTCCTAGGCTGAATAAGGCATGTAGTAGCGCTGCGGGTTAAACCGCAGAAGCCTCTGTGCTGCATGGTCAGAAGACCTGCAGTCGTAAGATCATATCCACGTGTCGGAGTGAGGTTCTGTCGCTTGTCCCAGCTCCTGCCAACCTAGCAGTTTGAAAGCAGGTAAAAATGCAAATAGATAAATAGGTACCACCTCGGTGGGAAGGTAATGGTGTTCTGTGTCTAGTCGCACTGGCCACTTGACCATGGAAACTGTCTTCGGACAAAAATGCTGGCTCTATGGGTTGGAAACGGGGATGAGCACCGCCCCCTAGAGTCGGACACAACTGGACTGAATGTCAAGGGGAATCTTTACCTTTACCTTTACATAGACTGAATAAGCAAAGGGGCCACCTATTTGAGGCACAATAGTTGTTCACTTTGATGTATTGCAGTTCAATACAAGCTGTGAATTGTGATGTCTTGGGTTTTGATCATACTGCCTTGAACTAACTGGGTTTAGGTAAAGATGCTCTTCTCTTGGGCTTAACCCACCTACCATCTTATTTGCTCAAAAGTAAGTTCCATTGAACTCAAAAATCCTTTTTAAGACTATGGTTGCAAACTCCTGAAATGGAACTTTGGATTTAAACCATGGAGACCACAGTTCACTCAGACATGAAAAGTTGTGGAGACTGCAAACATGTACTTGCATGTACAGTAAACTGAAGTTGACCACACTGAATTGGTAAGGCATATGTTTAAAACTGGAGGGAGAAATGTGAGTGTGCTAGTCTAATGTTGTGTTTTCAAAGACCGTCCCACTGAAGGCACTGTACAACTTATGAAGGAAGGAAACTGAAGTGGTTAAACAACATCTGACAGCTTCTTGTTTCTCCTTTTGGCACTGAAAGGTTCAAAAAGCTCCTCGCATAGTAATTGTGGGTGGTGGTTCTGCTGGTGTTGAAATGGCTGCAGAAGTGAAAACCAAGTTTCCTGCCAAAGAGGTATGAGGTAAAACTTAACACTATAGTCATCCATCTCTATCTGCTTATCATTTCATTATGCTGGTTGTTTTCAATTGAACATAGTAAACCTCTTTTCAAACAAAGTGTTTATAAATTTGGGGTGTGTAGAGGTTTGTAGGATCTCCTTTTTTAAACTCAAACCCTGACATCCCACAGCTGAACCCTACTCTAAAATAGGTATGCTTAAGATCGAAGAACCCAACATTCAGATACCAGAACTGAACAGAGCTGAGAGTTATTCCACACAAACCTCAGTTCTTGGATACTCAAAGCTTTATTTATTTTAGCAGTATAATTTGATGTATTGTTGTTGGGTGTATTTAGTAATGTGAAGTAAGTAGAAGTCATAAATGAACAGGTAGCTTAACTGTAACTGTTTTTTCTAGTGAGCATCTGTGAATTCACACATGTGGGTTGTTTATGCCTTTGTGAAACTCCTTGGAACATTCCAGATCCTAACGAAAACCATTAGACCAGCACCTGTAGTACACATGTTCCCACACTTAACGGTCAGCCCTCTGTACCCCCAATCTACTGCTGACAAGGAAAAATAGTAACACAACAGACTTGAGGAGAGGATGGGTAGGTGTGTGAATTGACAGATAACTACTCAAAGAACAGATGTCGAGCTGGATAAACACATTGGCAAAGCAGCTACCATGTTCTCTAGACTCACAAAGAGAGTATGGCTGAATAAGAAGTTGATGACATATACCAAGGTCCAGGTCTATAGAGCCTGTGTCCTGAGCACACTCCTGTACTGCAGTGAGTCCTGGACCCTTTGTGCACGGCAGGAGAGGAAGCTGAACACGTTCCATATGCGTTGTCTCTGATTTTCGTATCACCTGGCAGGACAAAGTTCCAAACAGAGTAGTCTTGGAATGAGCTGGAATCTTTAACATGTACTTGTTAACATGTATACATTACTAAAACAGTTATGTATAGGTTGGCTCGGGCATGTCATGAGAATGGCTGATGGTTGGATTCCAAAAGATCTCCTGTATGGAGAATTAGTGCAGGGAAATCACCCCAGAGGGAGACCAGAGCTGCAATACAAGGATATCTGCAAGCGGGATCTGAAGACCTTAGGAATGGACCTCAACAGATGGGAAACCTTGACATCTGAGCGTTCAGCCTGGAGGCAGGTGGTACATCATGGCCTCTCCCATTTTGAAGATTCCCTTGTCCAGCAGGCCGAGGCCAAGAGGCAGTCCCGAAACCAACAAAATTAGGGAGCTGGGCAGGGGACAGATTATGTTTGCCTTCAGTGTGGAAGGGACTGTCTCTCGAATTGGCCTTCTCAGCCACACTAGACGCTGTTCCAAGTCCTCTATTTAGAGCACGTTACCACTGTCTCTCAAGATTGAAGGATGCCTAATCTAATCTAACTCAAAGAATAACAGTTATAGGCAAGTAACCTGTTCTTCTTTGCGGTCTCTGTGAATTACACATGTGGGTGACTGACAAGCTTGCTTACCGGCTGGTGGGATGTCACACCAACACAAGTGAAATTACTGCTCTGCCAAATGTAGCATTGAATTTCACTCTGACTTCCAAACTGTAATGTTTGATGAATGTTGAGGGTAGTGTTGCTGTTTCACAAATGTTTCTTAATTGAATTTCTTTGGGGTCAAAGGCCTATCCAGTGTCTTATGAGTAGAATCAGTCTCCAGTAGCACTTCATCATCTTGGTGTCTAGTGGTTGATGATTCTATCTGGAGTTCCTCCATGAGGAACTGCCTATAAGTTGTTTTACAGAAAGTTACTACCAGAACTGATGTCACGTGTCAATATAGAATCCACTGCCTATAATGACTTCTCCCACAATAGAATTTTAGCTGGAATTGTCAATTCTTTATGGCGACCTTAGTCAATTTGCAGGAAATTTGACAGGTTGGAGTCTGATGCCCCTCACAAAGGCAGCACAAGCACTTTGAATGTCTGTCATTGAGGGGGATCTTGTTAGCACATGTGACACACTTCGGGGCCATTTTTTAAAAAAAGGCCTGGAATACAACTATTAATATGTATATTAGGGAAGACTCTAGACCAGTGGTCCTCAACCTTTTCCCAACTGTGGGCTAGTTGGGGTGGTGGTGGCACGCTCGTGTGGATGTGGCGCACTTGCAGGGGGTGGTGGATTGCGCTTGCATGCATGCATGTGGCGGTGCTAGTGGGCGGGCCGCTCATGCACATGCGAGCTTGCAAGGGGGGCCTTGTGTGCTCTGGGGGGTCTCATGCGCATACACGTGGGGGCACTTGCAGGAGGGCAGGAGATCTGTGTCCATGGCCCAGTCCTGCCTAGGCCATGGACTGGGGGTTGGGGACCCCTGCTCTAGGCCAGGGGTCGTCAACCCCTGGTCCGTGGCCCGGTGCTGATCCATGGAGTTGCTGGAACTGGGCTGCAAAAATGGATCTCGACCCCCCTGCACGCATGCTCAGGGCTGTGTGTTGCACCTGCAGGAGATATGTTGCACCTCTGTGTGGCGCGTGAGGACAACACGCCCCCTGGGTGTGACATGCCCACCACGTGCCCGTGACATGCCCCCCCATGTTCGCGTGGGGGTGCCCCTACCTCTCCCACACATGGAGCTCACTCCCCCCAAGCAGTCCACAGCCCCAAAAAGGCTGGGAACCACTGCTCTAGACAGCCTAGACCAGTGGTCCTCAACCTTTTCCCAAATGTGGGCTGGTTGGGGTGGTGGTGGCACACTCGCGTGGGTGTGGCGCACTTGCAGGGGTGGTGGTGGATTGTGCATGCATGCATGTGGCGGTGCTAGTGGGCGGGCTGCTTATGCACATGCGCTTGTGAGCTTGCAAGGGGGCCTTGTGTGCTCTGGGGGGGCTCATGCACATATGGGTGGGGGCGCTTGCAGGAGGGCAGGAGATCTGTGTCCATGGCCTGGTCCTGCCTAGGCCATGGACTGGGGGTTGGGGACCCATGCTCTAGGCCAGGGGTCGTCAACTCCCAATCCGTGGCCCGGTGCTGATCCATTGGCTTCTTGCAACTGGGCTGCAGAAATTGATCTCCACCCCCTGCACACATGCTCAGGGCTGTGTGTTGCACCTGCAGGAGGTATGTTGCACCTGTGTGTGGCACGCGAGCACAACATGCCCCTTGGGTGTGACATGCCCACCACAGGATGGGGGTGCCCCTACCTCCCCTGCACATGGAGCTCACTCCCCCCAAGCGGTCCAAGGCCCTAAAAAAGTTGGGAACTGCTGCTCTAGACAATACTCTGAGATGTTTCCTCAGTGGAAGTTGAAAGGGAACTGAGCTGACCATTAAATGTGAGAGCATATATACTAACTACGGAGAGCTGGTCTTAGGGTTTCTTTACGATCCAGAATGTTCTGAGGAGCTTCACAGAAACACAGAACAACTAACGTGTGATTCAAGACTACGAAGAACCATGCTAATCTACATCATCTCTGTCACGAACCTACCAGTGTATCTATATTTACCTGCGCATGCATGTGGCGGTGCTAGTGGGCGGGCTGCTTATGCACATGCGCTTGTGAGCTTGCAAGGGGGCCTTGTGTGCTCTGGGGGGGCTCATGCACATATGGGTGGGGGCGCTTGCAGGAGGGCAGGAGATCTGTGTCCATGGCCTGGTCCTGCCTAGGCCATGGACTGGGGGTTGGGGACCCATGCTCTAGGCCAGGGGTCGTCAACTCCCAATCCGTGGCCCGGTGCTGATCCATTGGCTTCTTGCAACTGGGCTGCAGAAATTGATCTCCACCCCCTGCACACATGCTCAGGGCTGTGTGTTGCACCTGCAGGAGGTATGTTGCACCTGTGTGTGGCACGCGAGCACAACATGCCCCTTGGGTGTGACATGCCCACCACAGGATGGGGGTGCCCCTACCTCCCCTGCACATGGAGCTCACTCCCCCCAAGCGGTCCAAGGCCCTAAAAAAGTTGGGAACTGCTGCTCTAGACAATACTCTGAGATGTTTCCTCAGTGGAAGTTGAAAGGGAACTAAGAACTGACCACTAAATGTGAGAGCATACATACTAACTACAGAGAGCTGGTCTTAGGGTTTCTTTATGCTCCAGAATGTTCTGAGGAGCTTCACAGAAGCACAGAACAACTAATGTTCTCTGCCACAAACCTACCAGTGTATCTATATTTACCTACCTACTGCTGAAGAAAGCTTTGAGTAACCATGAAGGGGGACAGCTGTTGTGCCTTGCTTGTGAACTGCGGTCATTGGTGGTTTGATTGGCGAGAACGGCCTAGTTTAGTGCCTTAATAAAACCTGGCTGCTCACTCATATCAGGTTTTCAGACCTCAATGATAATATCTTTCTTTTGGTTTGTGGTTTGTGGGTTTAGAATAAATTACATAAGAAAGCTTTGAGTAACCATGAAGGGGGACAGCTGTTGTGCCTTGCTTGTGAACTGCGGTCATTGGTGGTTTGATTGGCGAGAACGGCCTAGTTTAGTGCCTTAATAAAACCTGGCTGCTCACTCATATCAGGTTTTCAGACCTCAATGATAATATCTTTCTTTTGGTTTGTGGTTTGTGGGTTTAGAATAAATTACATGAATTGTATACCTAGGCCATGGACTGGGGGTTGGGGACCCATGCTCTAGGCCAGGGGTCGTCAACTCCCAATCCGTGGCCCGGTGCTGATCCATTGGCTTCTTGCAACTGGGCTGCAGAAATTGATCTCCACCCCCTGCACACATGCTCAGGGCTGTGTGTTGCACCTGCAGGAGGTATGTTGCACCTGTGTGTGGCACGCGAGCACAACATGCCCCTTGGGTGTGACATGCCCACCACAGGATGGGGGTGCCCCTACCTCCCCTGCACATGGAGCTCACTCCCCCCAAGCGGTCCAAGGCCCTAAAAAAGTTGGGAACTGCTGCTCTAGACAATACTCTGAGATGTTTCCTCAGTGGAAGTTGAAAGGGAACTAAGAACTGACCACTAAATGTGAGAGCATACATACTAACTACAGAGAGCTGGTCTTAGGGTTTCTTTATGCTCCAGAATGTTCTGAGGAGCTTCACAGAAGCACAGAACAACTAATGTTCTCTGCCACAAACCTACCAGTGTATCTATATTTACCTATCTACTGCTGAAGAAAGCTTTGAGTAACCATGAAGGGGGGGAGCTGTTGTGCCTTGCTTGTGAACTGTTGTCATTGGTGGTGTGATTGGTGAGAACGGCCTAGTTTAGTGCCTTATTAAAACCTGGCTGCTCACTCACACCAGGTTTCCAGAGCGCTATGATATCTTTCTTTTGCTTTGTGGTTTGTGGGTTTAGAATAAGTTACATGAATTGTATAAGACTAGAATTCTATTGGGGCAAAAACCCCACATATACAATGGTGCTCCACAATACGATGACCCCGCAGTACGAAACCACAGTACGACAACTTTTTTGGGATCACTATAGCGATTGTAAAATGATGGTTCCTATGGGGAAAATTTGCTTTACGATGATGAGGTCCCTGCTTCGGGAACCTTTTTTTGCTGGACGACGATCTTTACAGCTGATCGTTGATTTCGCAAAATGGCCTCCCGCTGTTTTCCGGACCGATTTTCGCATTACGGTGATTAGAAACAGCTGATTGGCGGTCCCAAACCTGGTCTTAGGGTTTCTTTATGCTCCAGAATGTTCTGAGGAGCTTCACAGAAGCACAGAACAACTAATGTTCTCTGCCACAAACCTACCAGTGTATCTATATTTACCTATCTACTGCTGAAGAAAGCTTTGAGTAACCATGAAGGGGGGGAGCTGTTGTGCCTTGCTTGTGAACTGTTGTCATTGGTGGTGTGATTGGTGAGAACGGCCTAGTTTAGTGCCTTATTAAAACCTGGCTGCTCACTCACACCAGGTTTCCAGAGCGCTATGATATCTTTCTTTTGCTTTGTGGTTTGTGGGTTTAGAATAAGTTACATGAATTGTAGAAATACAGTGGTGCCCCGCTTGACAATGATAATCCGTTCCAGCAAAATCGCTGTACAGCAAAATTGTCGTCAAAAAAAAAAAAAAAAAAAACACCATTGGAATGCAATTGAAAACCAGTTAAAGCGTTCCAAGGGGGAAAATACCTGCTCTTCCAGTGAAGATCCTCCATAGGGCGGCCATTTTATGAGGGCCGATCAGCTGTTTTTCATGCCTGTCTTCCGAAACAAGGGTCGGAAAACAGCGGGAGGCCATTTTAGAAACCCAGTAATCAGCTGGGAAAATCGTCATCCACAGGAAAAATGGTTTCCGAAGCAGGGACCTAATCATTGTTTAGCAAAAAAAACCCCATAGGAACCATCGTTTTGCGACCGCTATAGTGATTGCAAAAAGTCATCGTCAAGCGATTTTCCTGGAACGGATTATTGGCGTCATGCAGGGCACCACTGTAAAAAGGTCATCCTACAGCTATTTGCACAGCTGCTGTCAGCTCCAAGGGAGAAAACATCTGATTTATTTATTGTGTGTTTACTGTTTCATGCACAAGTACCCCAACAGGATTCTGGTCCAAGTATTGCAATAAGCACATCACTAAACTGATATTGGCATGTGATGATGGGTCTTTGCAGCTAATGTTCACCAGTTAAGCATCTCGATGTTTATGTCCCCAGGTCACATTAATTCACTCAAAAATTGCATTGGCAGATGTAGAACTCCTCCCCAGAGTCCGAGAGGAGGTGAAGGAGACTCTTATACAGGAAGGGGTACATCTTGTGTTGGGTAGGTATAAAGCTGACTTTGTTGTAAGTCTCTAATATTTCAGGAAGAATTTTGGTTTTCTTCTGAATGAGAAAGGCTACAAATGGCTGTTGCAGGACACATTTCTGTAGATGTTTCAGGATTAAAGGCTGCTTTATTTGATAATTATTTTACTCATGCATGATCACAGAGCCTAAGATACAATGCATTCCAAATGAATGTAACCATGTTTTCTGTAGCAGCTTATATTTTAAAGTACAAGCAGCAAAATGGCAAAAGACTGAACAATTGTTAGTTCTATGGTATCTTACATAGTTTAGTAAAAAAACCCAGAGATTGGGTTTTTTTAAAAAATATTCTCAATGGTCATTATTAACCGGTTTTCAATGCATTCCAATGGGAATTTTTTTCCACATGACAACGATTTCGCTGTACAGCGATTTTCCTGGAACGGATTATCATTGTCATGCGGGGCACCACTGTATAAAGGTCATCTTACAGCCACTTGCACAGCTGCTGTCAACTCCAAGGGAGAAAACATCTGATTTATTTATTGTGTGATTACTGTTTCATGCACAAGTACCCCAACACGATTCTGATCCAAGTATTGCAGTAAGCACATCACTAAACTGATATTGGCATGTGATGATGGGTCTTTGCGGCTAATGTTCACCAGTTAAGCATCTCGATGTTTATGTCCCCAGGTCACATTAATTCACTCAAAAATTGCATTGGCAGATGTAGAACTCCTCCCCAGAGTCCGACAGGAGGTGAAGGAGACTCTTATACAGGAAGGGGTACATCTTGTGTTGGGTAGGTATAAAGTTGACTTTAAGTCTCTAATATTTCAGGAAGAATTTTGGTTTTCTTCTGAATGAGAAAGGCTACAAATGGCTGTTGCAGGACACATTTCTGTAGATGTTTCAGGATTAAAGGCTGCTTTATTTGATAATTATTTTACTCATGCATGATCACAGAGCCTAAGATACAATGCATTCCAAATGAATGTAACCATGTTTTCTGTAGCAGCTTATATTTTAAAGTACAAGCAGCAAAATGGCAAAAGACTGAACAATTGTTAGTTCTATGGTATCTTACATAGTTTAGTAAAAAAATGCAGAGATTGGGTTTTTTAAAAAAATATTCCCAATGGTCAGTTAAAGGTATCACCTGTTCTTGCATTTGTATTCTTTCAATGACCATACGGCCCTTTCCTGATTTTTACACAATTGTTAGTGTGTTGACATGAGACATGCAATTTAAGACAGGTCCACCTCAGAGGTATGCAATGTATGTATTGTGCATGTTCTGCACTTGGGAATCATGGGGTTAAAAAAAGAAGACCTATTTAGAGGTTTAGAGGGTGTGCTAAACTTTGCTTATTCCTGTCTTTTATTACTTAAATTGGAGAGCACAGGATAGGGCAAGTTTCTTTCTCAAATTGCGGAGTGGGTAGTAACTCTACAGGTAGAAGTCCTGGCAAGCCTCCCTTTTTGCAGGTGCAGAAACATTAGTTTCCCTTGCAGTCTGCTGTTGGTCACAGCATAAGGAAATCTGCCAGGGGTTCTGTTTGGATCCACTGTGTCAAAAACCTATTTCTCCCAATTTGCCAGGCACAAGGGAGGAAAAGTGTGTAAGCCCTCAGCAAGCCATTGTTTTTATCCTCGGTTGTCCAATCTTCCTGCTCATATAAACCTGATAGGATTTAGTATCTCCTGTGTCTTGGGTTCTGCTGCTTGGATATTGTTGCCCTACATGTAAGATTTCAGGATCCAGCTATTTGGCTGAAATCTTTTTACAAGAGCGATGTGGAGCCATCCTCTTGACTATATGAAACATACTGAATTCTAACTGGATTTGTAAGTTGTAACTAGGTCTTATTTATTAACATTTTAAACTATTCTCTGTAATCAGAAGAGAGAGGGAGATGTATGCATCTTCTGACAATATAGAATTGGAGATGTGAAAATAGAAGTAATTCTAAATGATTAAATGTAAATGGTATCCTTTCAAGTGATATCTTGAAGCATAGCAGGATGGAGGTTCAGTGAGGTGAGGTGTTTTTTTGTTTGTTCTTGCTGCTTGTGACAGGCGAGAGAGTTGCTAACCTGGATATGCTGACCTTAAACCAATTCAAGGAGAACATGGTTGTGAGGACTCACACAGGCACAGAGATCGCGACTGACATGGTGATTCTTTGCACTGGAATAAAAGTCAATTCAGCAGCATACAGCCGTACATTTAGTAAGTTATTTTTCACTTGTGAGGAAATGAACATAACATATTGCTAGTTCTCGTATTTCAAACCTTATCTGAAATTGGATATCAACTTTGCCAGAAGCTTAAGAGCACAATTTCTCAACTTGGGAGTCACCACAGTTATTTTTGCTGCAATTATTTTTATATTTATTATATTAATATGGTATACACAATGTTATTTTATTTTTCTCCTCTTGACCTAGAGGCAACCTAGAGTTCTTAGCTATATCTGTACCCCTTTGGGTAGATTCTCCTTTTATACATGCACATCACCCCCTACCCTCTCTGAAAGAGCTGCTCTCACTTGCTTCTCTGTGCTTCTCCATATTCATCTTTGGAAGACTGACGTCAGCCCTTCAGACTCAAGCATTAGCCTAACCCAAAGAGGCCTGAATGAGGCGAGCACATGGTGCATACAGGGAACATCAGTTCCCAAGACAGTGGCAGGATTGAAAATTTGTTGTGGAGGCAGTGGTGGTGCCTTCTGCTCTGCTTGATTCTCCTGCTCTTCTGGGTGTGACAATGGTGGCACAGTAAAAGGGGGGACCTGTATGTGGAGATGCTTCGGTGGCCCACCTGTCATGGAGGAGGAAGGCAGGAAGGGCAAAAAGGTGTTGGAGGAGAACCAAGAGAGGGTGGGGCCCATGGGGAAGGTGTTTATTTGGACTCAAGCTAGAAGGACTCCTAAGAGGGATTTTGGGGGCGGGGGGCAAAGACATGAAGGCAGAATACTTCTATCTCCAAAAGTGTATTGACATTTTTCCTTCTCAAATTTTATCTAGTAGAGGTGAGTTTAGGCCCCCCCCCATTATGTATTGCTACATTAATATTAATACAGTATATTAGGTTAGAATTCTATTCTGAAAAATATATTTTAATGTGTTTTTTACCCTATTAAAATACCTTTTTATGCAGATATGATGCAAGTGACTTGGGTATTATAAATGGGGTCACAACTCAAATAAGGTTGGGAAACATTGCTTTAGAGAGAGGAAGAGACAGTCTGACTATATTGATCCTTTTAAAAGCAAGCCTTTTAAATTAATTTGGAAACTTATCTTACCCCTGCCCATTTCAAAATGTGGAAAAAAGTGCAGTTACTTCACTCCTTTCTCTATTCCATTTTAGGTAACAAGCTGGCAAATAATGGTGCTTTGAAAGTGAATGAGCATCTTCAGGTAGAAGGATATAGTAACATTTATGCCATTGGTGACTGCGCTGATGTGAGGGAGCCAAAGATGGCATACCATGCTGCGCTCCATGCAGATGTTGCGGTGACCAACATTATCAACACCCTAACACACAAACCTTTGAAAGTTTACCAACCAGGTCAGACCATTTGTTCAAGTCAGATCAAGCATCTTCTGTCAATGCATATTTGAATATTAAAGTTCTGCATGAGCCAGCATTTGCAGACTCACATTTTACAGCCAGTTCTACATTTACATTGACATTCTGAAGCTATTGCACTTGTAATCACAGCGTACTCCAACATCACTGAATCATATTGTACTTTTGTGTCATTCATATGAAGAAAGAATAGTAATTACTTAACATGTGAACTAGCTCTAGTTTGGGTGCATGTAGGAATCATGGGTAGATGGAGGCTTTTTGACAATTGTTATTACATAATTACTTCATTTGCTCATGGAATTTTGGGGAGATTCAGAAATGGCATGCATTTGCAACCTTTCTGTGTTCACACACACATTTTTTTTTACTTCCTCTGAAAATCTGCTAATGAAAAAAAGATGGAGGAATTCTACAGTGTCTTTTGTTACCACTAAGAGTTGTCTGCCAGGAAGCATCCTATACAAACATTTGTTTTGGCTAATATTCCAGAAAGTTAAAAAAAACATGTATCCAAGTCAAGTAATGTGTCTAGATGATTTTAAAAATAATCTTTGTGTCTCCATTTCAGGATCACTTACCTTTTTAATCTCAATGGGAACAAATGATGGAGTGGGTCAGATCAATGGATTCTATGTGGGACACTGCTTAGTGACTGCTGTCAAAAGCAAAAATCTTTTTGTCTCAAAAAGCTGGAAGAAGATGAATCAGTGTATGCCACCTTAGGCAGAAAAGAGGGGACCTGGCAAGAAAAGATTCAGGTATGACATCACCAGTGCTAATTAAGAATATATCTCCAATGAATTAATATAGTTCTCTGAAGGATCAAAGTTGATTATTTTTAATAAAATATAAATTTTGTACTGTATGTTCAGTAGATTTTTGTGGAAGATATATTTTCATATAGCACCTTCAGTCTTTCTACTGTCTAGTCCACAAGGTAATATACATTTTGTAAAACTTGGTATTGTTGAATTAAAAAAGAGAGCAACCTATGTAGCCTGTGGAAATGATGTTCAGTCATCATCATGTGCATGACATTGTGTTCCTTTCTGTGGTCATGGCCATTCGTTTTCTTTATTATTTTGCATTATATGCTGGCGTTATACTGTATAGCTTCCATGGCGATGATTGTTTCCATGTTATTTTCTCTATAGAAAAGACTGATGGAAATTGTACTTTCCTTTTGCCAGTTTTTAAATTACTTCTATTATTCATTGATGCTGTAGTTCTGCCTCTCAAACCTGCTATCTTCTCAAAGTCTAAAGTTCCTTGTGCCTTTTACCAAAGTGGACAATGTTGAAATTACAGGAGGGAAACTGTGCCTTCCACAGCAGGAATAGTTGCTAGTCAAGCACAATCTGAAGTATTTTTGGAGAAAAACTTCAAGTAATATGCAAATACTCTGGAGGCAGATCTATAAATAACATTTAGTAAATAGGAGTTGGATACCCACTGTGTAGTGGACTGAGTGAAGGACTAGGACCTAGGAGGCTGAGGTTTGAATCCCCACTCATCCATGGAAACTCACTTGGGATGCGGAACTAGTGAAGCCACCCCTTAAATGTCTCACTTACATTGAAAGCCCTGTTAGGGTTGTTATAAGATGGCAACAGACTTAAATGGCAACATCCTTTCATTTGTGGATGGATGCAGTTTCTTTGGAGATCCAGCTAGAAGTATTTGGGAGGAACTGATCAGCTTTATAGGACAGTTGAAAATATTATTTGTTGTAGACTGTTTGCTTTATTTATGTGTTAGCTTTTATTTTTCTTGTTTACCTTAAGTTATTTAGTAATGCTGTCTCTTCTCAACAAATCAGTGTTTCAAAATGGAGGGACATTCCTTAAACTTGGTTTTAAAGCAAAAGGTTATAGCTGAAGCTATAACCTAAGAAAGGAAATACAAATCAGAGACTACTCATATGATTCTTTCTTGACACATTCTTGTATCTTAATCCCCAATCCATCCTCAGACTGACATTGCAGCTTAATCTCACTAGCAACCACATTCAATATAGTGTGTCTTGCTAATGGTGTGGGAGAGTAAAAGAATCACTAGCTTTGGAAGCATGAACATCTACAAACTATTAATTTGCAGTGCAGTCTTCAACATTTTGCTTTTAATCATTTTTCACTCTTCAGACCCTGCTTCTTCAAATGATTACCGTAGAACATGGCACTAGGACATGGTAGGACATAGTGGGCAAAATGTGGCCTGTTGGCTGCATATAGTGCCCTGAGCTCCCATAGGCTCCAAGTCAATTTTTTAACAAAATACAAAAATTAAATTTCTGGAAGTTGCTACTTTTGTGTAAAAGAAACTGGGAGATTTTCCTAAATCCCTCCCAACAAAATATGGAAGTTGTCATTGAAGTACTTCTGGTTTTGACTTTTAATTTTTAAAACATTTTTGATATCTTTGGCCCTAGTGCAATTCACCATGGATACTAACCCTCGGTACTGAAAAACTGCCCACTTCCACTATAAAATATGTGTAAGCCAAGGGTACTCAAGTGAGTTTTCATTGATAACATCAAGATGGAACAGTAATTATGAGGTTCATTAGCTTAATAAAATAAGAAATAGGCTGGAGTTTACAAGAACTGAGCAGAGGTGTTAAGATATTGGATGGCACAAGTCAGCAACAAATTTAAGATGGTAGGGAGGTACAAACTGAGTGGTTCTTTTCTACTTCTGGGTCAATAAAGGAACATAAGAACCCCAGTGTATTGTTCTGGCAATAAAGTAGGACTTTGCAAAGGTGGTTGGTTGTATCTCGTCTGTCATAAAACAGTTGTTATGATATTCCAAGAAAAAAAATTAAAATTCTCTGTTCAGTTATAATCATATAAACTCTCTTTTCATGTATGAGAGCAGGATTTAAACAATTTCTGGACAAGAGATACATTTATGAATTTACCAAAATGGCTATCCCCTCCCCTTGCAAACTACTCTGTTGGGATTCTTGCACTGAATGCTAGGTTAGGCACACTTTACTTTCTGCAAGGCTTTTCTTGTATTGAGCAAAAATGCATAATTAAGGTCAGTCATAGCATATATGTGAAGCAGTGCTATCTCTTTGTAAATTAAATGTGTCCATAGGCCATACATATTTTAGTTTAAAAAATAAGTAAGGAAAAGAAGACCATCTGTGGCTTTTCCAAAAAGTTGACTCAGAAGCTACAGGACTGAAAAAAGTTGAATAAAAATGTACATGTAGACTCTGTGTAGGGAACTGAATTTTACTTTAAAACAAACTGCAGAATACACTAGAACTATCCAAAGTATGTGCTTAAAGCTCTCCACTTGAAACCAACCTTTAAAAACCAAAAACAAATCCTGGGTTATATATACTGTGTAAAAAACCAATAAAAGCTACCATGCTCTGGGGTTTCAGTGCATGTTACTCCCTCTGTTGCCGCTTTTTTAACTTAATGACCAGAACAGCTAGTGTCTTGCATCAGTGGTTTTAGTGTTGCTAAACTGCAGTAAAGATAGTTCTGCAGATCCATATGTGTCCCAGTAACAAGCAACAGTAGCTTGACAAAACTTGAGCAAAAGCATATTGTTGTTCAAAGTGACTTATCTTTACCTTTAAATTTGAACCTGAGATGTCTTTCTTGATTTAGGAAAAAAAGCATGAATAGAAAAGCTCAAGTTTAAAGTTTTAAAAAAGCATGACGCCATTTTTTATAAAAACAAATAAGATGAAATATTCTCAGCAATTACAGACCATTCTGGGATAAAACAGTAAAGCACCAAGTGAGTTTTCTTTGAAATTACTTTCTCCAACATGGAACAAAGACACAACATAAGGTTTCCTAACCACTAGTGGGAAAATAAAGGGAAGCAAACAATTCATTTTCTCCCCAGTCATTCCTTGTGTTGAATTGTTTGCTACTCTAAAATGAGATTAATATTAAGAAGGTCTAAACTAAAATAACTCGAGACATATTAAAATGTAGAGAGGTGGCAACATAACTTCTTAGGGGTGATACAAAATGGTAGAGGGTATCTAAAGCATGGTATAATTGCAGATCAAACTCTCCCAAACGATTTCCCTCCTCCTTTCCAATAACAAAAGCCCTCCACCCGTGACAAAACTTCAAATCTACTCACATACTCCGTTCTCACAATATTTTAAAAATAAAACCCAATTCTAATTCTCATTCCTACTCATATTCATGTTGAAAAATAAAATTTCATTTTGGCTTCTGTTGCTACTTTGCGTCTAGCTTTGCCATCTCTTGCACATAAATGCCAATGCTCTCACTGTCAAAAAGCAGGAAGTATATGTTCTTCAAAGAGGAGGGGCTGGAGTCATCAAAATGGGAAGAAATAGCTTTAAGAGTCACCTGGGCTGCAGTCTGTTTTGGAAAGCAATTTCTAGACAGAATGGAGAGAGATCAGGGTTAAAGTACAAATATTAGCTTTAAAAACTCATGAGCTCAATAATATATTCTATACCCATGTATTTTGTAATTGAAGTCACTATGCTGTGTTACCACTAGGCAGACTTGTTATGAAAGTACGTACTTTATTGTAACCCAGTGGATTAGTTGAAGTAGAGATGAAAGAAATTCCTTCTTCCATATAACATTTTTAACCTTAAGAACAGCAATATATAAAGGAGAAAATCCTACACACACTGGGACATGACTGGTAAGAGGCAAGGTTTCATAAGCAAGCAAAACAAAGTCTGATGTATGGGATTATCAGAAATGCTAATCTTAAAATGAGAAAATATTAGCTTATTTAAAAGCACAGAAAGGAGGTTACAAGTCAAGTCAAAAGGAGTGGCAGCTTGCTGAGGTAAAGGTAAAAGTTCCCCATGACAATTGTCCAGTCATGTCTGACTCTAGGGGGGCGGTGCTCATCCCCGTTTCCAAGCTGCAGAGCCAGCATTTGTCTGTAGACAGTTTCCGTGGTCACGTGGCCAGCACGACTAGACATGGAACGCTGTTACCTTCCCACCATGGTGGTACCTATTTATCTACTTGCATTTGCATGCTTTCCAACTGCTATGTTGGCAGGAGCTGGACAAGTGACAGGAGCTCAGTTGCGTGGATTCGATCTTATGACTGCTGGTCTTCCAACCTTGCAGCACAGAGGCTTCTGCGGTTTAACCTCCAGCGAAGTTTAAGAAATTGGGTCATATAGTATAAAGCTGAAGAAGTACAGTTTGGTTGGGAGAAGTATCTTAACATTTTACCCATTATACCTAAAACCCCAGACAGTCCTGAAAATTTCATAGCCAAAGTTAGCTAGTTCTCAGTAGAACAACTAATTTTTTCTTTTCCTTAAGCTCTTATTAATTATTTGGCAGTTGCATAAAACATAGGAGTGAAATAATGGAATTACTGGAAGTTTCCCCTGCTAAATTTTTATATACCCTGTTTCTCTGAAAATAAGACCTAACCTGAAAATAAGCCCTAGTATGATTTTCACAATGCTCATAATACAAGCCCTACCCCTAAAATCAGCCCCAGTTAAGTGTAACCCCGCTCTCTACCATTGTGCAGCAACTAGAAGATGACATGACTATTTGAATAAATGTAATTGTTGTGCATGAAAAAAATTAAGCATCCCTTGAAAATAAGCCCTAATGTTTTTTTGGAGCAAAAATTAATATAAGGCCCTGTCTTATTTTCAGGGAAACACGGTATCATGCAGCTATAAGAGGCACTGAAACTCTGAGGGAATAAATACATGTTAGTAATCCTCCAAGTGACTTGTTAGATGTATCACAAAACAAATAC